ATCAAATGAAGATACGGCATCTGTATATAACAACAGGATGATCAAATGAAGATACGGCATCTGGATATAACAACAGGATGATCAAATTAAGATACAGCATCTGTATATAACAACAGGATGATCAAATGAAGATACGGCATCTGTATATAACAACAGGATGATCAAATGAAAATACGGCATCTGTATATAACAACAGGATGATCAAATGAAGATACGGCATCTGGATATAACAACAGGATGATCAAATTAAGATACAGCATCTGGATATAACAACAGGATGATCAAATGAAGATACTGACATCTGTATATAACACAGGATGATCAAATGAAGATACGGCATCTGTATATAACAACAGGATGATCAAATGAAGATACGGCATCTGTATATAAAACAGGATGATCAAATGAAGATACGGCATCTGTATATAACAACAGGATGATCAAATGAAGATACGGCATCTGTATATAACAACAGGATGATCAATGAAGATACGGCATCTGTATATAACAACAGGATGATCAAATGAAGATACGGCATCTGTAATAACAACAGGATGATCAAATGAAGATACGGCATCTGTATATAACACAGGATGATCAAATTGAAGATACGGCATCTGTATATAACAACAGATGATCAAATGAAGATACGCATCTGTATATACACAACAGGATGATCAAATGAAGATACGGCATCTGTATATAACAACAGGATGATCAAATGAAGATACGGCATCTGTATATAACAACAGGATGATCAAATGAAGATACGGCATCTGTATATAACAACAGGATGATCAAATGAAGATACGGCATCTGTATATAACAACAGGATGATCAAATGAAGATACGGCATCTGATATAACAACAGGATGATCAAATGAAGATACGGCATCTGTATATAACAACAGGATGATCAAATGAAGATACGGCATCTGTATATAACAACAGGATGATCAAATGAAGATACGGCATCTGTATATAACAACAGGATGATCAAATGAAGATACGGCATCTGTATATAACAACAGGATGATCAAATGAAGATACGGCATCTGTATATAACAACAGGATGATCAAATGAAGATACGGCATCTGTATATAACAACAGGATGATCAAATGAAGATACGGCATCTGTATATAACAACAGGATGATCAAATGAAGATACGGCATCTGGATATAACAACAGGATGATCAAATGAAAGATACGGCATCTGTATATAACAACAGGATGATCAAATGAAGATACGGCATCTGTATATAACAGGATGATCAAATGAAGATACGGCATCTGGATATAACAACAGGATGATCAAATGAAGATACGGCATCTGGACATAACAACAGGATGATCAAATGAAGATACAACATCTGTATATAACAGGATGATCAAATGAAGATACGGCATCTGGATATAACAACAGGATGATCAAATGAAGATACGGCATCTGTATATAATAACAGGATGATCAAATTAAGATACAGCATCTGGATATAACAGGATGATCAAATGAAGATACGGCATCTGTATATAACAACAGGATGATCCAAATGAAGATATGGCATCTGTATATAACAAAGGATGATCAAATGAAGATACGGCATCTGTATATAACAACAGGATGATCAAATGAAGATACGGCATCTGTATATAACAACAGGATGATGAAATGAAGATACGGCATCTGTATATAACAACAGGATGATCAAATGAAGATACGGCATCTGGATATAACAACAGGATGATCAAATGAAGATACGGCATCTGTATATAACAGGATGATCAAATGAAGATACGGCATCTGGATATAACAACAGGATGATCAAATGAAGATACGGCATCTGTATATAACAACAGGATGATCAAATGAAGATACGGCATCTGTATATAACAACAGGATGATAAAATGAAGATACGGCATCTGTATATAACAACAGGATGATCAAATGAAGATACGGCATCTGGATATAACAACAGGAGCAGGAAGTTCACACGAGACGGTCGATGTGCTGCTCGGTTCACACCAGATGGTGTAGGGAACAATCAGAACAATCCTCCTTCACAGCTCTGGAAAAATACTAATTGGTTTGAAGTAAATCGATATGGGCTGGCAGCTACCCACAGTCCATCAGGCTCATTCTGCTATTAGCTCATTGATTGGTCAGTACTAATTGAAGTCCCTACACCCAAACGAGGGCACTGCGTTCATCCATCTCTGGCCTGCTGGCTCCCCTACCTCTGCGGAAGCATAGTTCCCGCTCAGCCCAGTCAAAACTGTTCGCTGCCCTGGCACCCCAATGGTGGAACAAGCTCCCTCACGACGCCAGGACAGCGGAGTCACTCACCACCTTCCGGAGACATTTGAAACCCCACCTCTTTAAAGAATACCTGGGATAGGATAAAGTAATCCTTCTACCCCCCCCCCCCCCCCCCCCCCCCCCAGTGGTTATCCCACTGGCTATAAGGTGAATGCACCTATTTGTATGTCGCTCTGGATAAGAGCGTCTGCTAAATGACGTAAATGTAAATTGAAGGCCATTGATTCGCAAGAGCTAATTGAAGGTATGGTTATTACAGGGTCCAGTTAGTCTCCACAGCAGCAGAGGTCAGGATGTAAATCAGAGGTAATGTATATACGGATGTGATGTGGTGGTGTTGAAGGAGTCAGGCGCAGGAGGGTAAATCACAGAAGAACCGGCTTTAATCCGCAAAATACAGGTTTACACAGAACTGCGTCAAACACACTCCAGGGCAAAAAACAGGTGCACTGGAAAATACAAGGCACACGGGAAAATACTCCCGTCGATACAAAATACACGAGCTCCACTAACCTTCACAAAAGCTTAATTAACCTTCACAAATAATCACCCACAAGGACAAGGGGGCAGAGGGAACACTTATACACAGACTAATTAGGGGAATAGAACCAGGTGTGTGTGATAACGAGACAAGACAATTGTGATGATGATTGGGGCGGCAGTGGTTAGTACTCTGGTGACGACGAACGCCGAAGCCTGCCCGAACAAGGAGGGGAGGAGGCAGCCTCGGCCGAAGCCTGCCCGAACAAGGAGGGGAGGAGGCAGCCTCGGCCGAAGTCGTGACAACGGAGCAATCCCTGGTCTCTTTAAAGCTGAACTTATAGATCATCTACCTGATTTCCATATGAACCTAGAGAAGATAACATGGTGTATGTGTTGCACTTTGTTTTAATAGTTGTGAGATTAATTAGAGATGGTGGGGATATTGAGCATCTATGAACTGTCTATAAAGCCTAAATGAAGTGTCTTTGAAGGTCTATAAAGCTTATGTTAGGCTCTACAGAGATATATATAGAGGTATGATGGAGAGCCCTTTAACCAGAAGGGTTTTTATAAAATAATCATGTCGGTATGGTTTAATGTGTTATTGTGATCATTATTTCATGAACTATAAAATCTAATTCAAACACAAGTTTTTTGAGAAAAAAAATGATTCATTATGATTTTGGTAATAATAGCATATAACATTTATTTCAGTGATTATTAATCCACATTCTACATTTACGTGAAAATATCAGCCTATTTATTTCCACTAGCGTTTATTAGCCTTCATTCATTGGTCCTAAAAGTTTTGACAGCTAAGTTAAACGCCTGGCATTGAGCCAGGGAACTCTCTTAGTTCATCTTCTGACCACAGATAACTGAGAGGAACCAGTTAACATCTAACTGTTATAATACATTAAGATCTGTACCAACACCAATGAGCCAATGAGACTCACTCATCACAGTTTAATTGAGGACTGATAACAGCCAGTAGAGCCAATGAGACTCACTCATCACAGTTTAATTGAGGGCTGATAACAGCCAGTAGAGCCAATGAGACTCACTCATCACAGTTTAATTGAGGACTGATAACAGCCAGTAGAGCCAATGAGACTCACTCATTACAGTTTAATTGAGGACTGATAACAGCCAGAAGAGCCAATGAGACTCACTCATCACAGTTTAATTGAGGGCTGATAACAGCCAGTAGAGCCAATGAGACTCACTCATTACAGTTTAATTGAGGGCTGATAAGATAATGAAATAGTAATTACAGAACCGTTCAGAGTGCATTACTTTCCTCTTATTGAAATATTCCTTTTATGAAAGAGACAGGCTCTGGAGATGCCAACTGTCTTCGGAAACTATTAGGAAGGACAGTAACAGCTACTGGAAGTCATAAGATCCCTCAGTTATTATTTGTGGTTTGAATCATAAAGTCCTTTGCTATACCATTGACTTAGTTCTAATAGTGTTTAAATAGGTGTTTTTGAATCAGCCACATGTTTGTTAGTGCGGTAGATGTGAATGTGAAGAGGATGAGTGTTGATATTCTCTAGACAGTGATTACACTGAACAGCTCCTGGAGGAATGGAGCCTTTAGTTCAGTCATTTCAAACTTCACTGTCTCTGCTGGTCTTCACTCGCCATCTAGTGGTGTAACAATGTGTTACACATCCACTGTTTATTACAAACCTTCCAGGGCTTACACTAGACTAATTACACCCGATTTACTAGATAACAGGAAAATAATCTAATGAATCAAATTCAGTCAAATTCCAATTCAAACTCACTCAATTTAAAAAGTCATTAATTTATTTACAAAAAATATATGTAGCTATAAATACAATCTCATATAGTAAACAAAGTCTTTAAGACTACAAAGATAAAACCTTTCAATATTGTAGTGTTGGGGGGGGAAAAAAATCGATAGTTACATATCGGGATAGTATATGTTATTATATGTTTGGACAATGTAAATCGCAATAAAATCACATTATCGAATTGCAATTCTTATATAATGGTGAGAATCACAATACATATCGTATCGGCACCTAAGTATGGTGATAATACTGTATGGTGAGGTCCCTGGTCATTCCCAGCCCTACAATATTGTACAAAAGAGGAATGTGTAAAGGTGTTGCTACTATGGCCTTATGCTCATCCAGCGGTGGGGGGGGTGTCAGAGGTTAGAGGTCAGAGTACAGAACGATACTTGCAGGCGAACATCACCCAGACAGCACAGGCAGACTCAGGGTACGCAAACACCCGGACACGCACCGCCAGCCTCACGTGGTCCCCACGGCAACACACTATCTCATCACAGAACGGAGACCTGCCCAGACAACAACAGTTACATTTACATTACATTTACATTTGAGTTACAACACCACTTCTGTATCCATGACAACACACACCACTTCTGTATCCATGACAACGCACACCTCTCCTGTTCTTCAGCTCGTAACTTATCTGAACAACTTATAAAACTGTGACGTGTCTATAAGCTGGAAACATTAGGTGTTGCGATGCGTTGCTATAGTAACCTGAGGCAGGTAGCGAAGGCTCTGCGTGCGTTGTGGTGCAGGAAGTGGATGGGGAAACCTTTGAAGGTGTGTCCGTCCGGCACCGCCCTCCGCACAGCGTCCTGGAACTCCTCGTTACCGCAGGAAGTCCCCGTGCAGCGCTCCAGCTCGTACGCCGCCAGGGCAGAGGACAGCACGTAAGACAGGTGGTCCTCCCACACCGTGGCCAGGCCCAGGTCCTGGCGAGAGACACACACAGAGAACTACTATAATACAGCTTCTACAAACACAATTGCAAGACTGTCAAGAGGCGGTCGCTAAAATGTTTTCTCGCAAGTTAGGGGGAGGGGCAACAACATGTTGGGCTCCCAAAGGGCTAGGGCCAAGGGCCCACAAAAGGCTAGGGCCAAGGGCCCCCAAAAGGCTAGGGCCAAGGGCCCCCAAAAGGCTAGGGCCAAGGGCCCCAAAAAGGCTAAAGACAAGGGCCCCCAAAAGGCTAGGGACAAGGGCCCCCAAAAGGCTAGGGCCAAGGGCCCCCAAAAGGCTAGGGCCAAGGGCCCCCAAAAGGCTAGGGCCAAGGGCCCCAAAAAGGCTAAAGACAAGGGCCCCCAAAAGGCTAGGGACAAGGGCCCCCAAAAGGCTAGGGACAAGGGCCTCCAAAAGGCTAGGGACAAGGGCCCCCAAAAGGCTAAGGCCGGCTCTGACTACATGTGTGGGTATGGATGTGTGTACGCAGACCCTCATGATGAGGTCAGACCCGCAAAACACTGCGGCCCCTAATGATGAGGTCAGACCCGCAAAACACTGCGGCCCCTCATGAGGAGGTCAGACCCGCAAAACACTGCGGCCCCTCATGATGAGATCAGATGTTTTGTGGCCCCCACCCCCTTCAAAGTTCCCCATCCCTGCAGCAGATAAACAGATACACAACATGACTATACACATAGAGGCCATGTTAATATCCTGTACTGTAGATACACAACATGACTATACACAGAGGCCATGTTAATATCCTGTACTGTAGATACACAACATGACTATACACAGAGGCCATGTTAATATCCTGTACTGTAGATACACAACATGACTATACACATAGAGGCCATGTTAATATCCTGTACTGTAGATACACAACATGACTATACACATAGAGGCCATGTTAATATCATGTACTGTAGATACACAACATGACTATACACAGAGACCATGTTAATATCCTGTACTGTAGATACACAACATGACTATACACATAGAGGCCATGTTAATATCCTGTACTGTAGATACACAACATGACTATACACAGAGGCCATGTTAATATCCTGTACTGTAGATACACAACATGACTATACACAGAGACCATGTTAATATCCTGAACTGTAGATACACAACATGACTATACACAGAGACCATGTTAATATCCTGTACTGTAGATACACAACATGACTATACACAGAGGCCATGTTAATATCCTGTACTGTAGATACACAACATTACTATACACAGAGACCATGTTAATATCCTGTACTGTAGATACACAACATGACTATACACAGAGGCCATGTTAATATCCTGTACTGTAGATACACAACATGACTATACACAGAGGCCATGTTAATATCCTGTACTGTAGATACACAACATTACTATACACAGAGGCCATGTTAATATCCTGTACTGTAGATACACAACATGACTATACACATAAAGGCCATGTTAATATCCTGTACTGTACATACACAACATGAATATACACATAAAGGCCATGTTAATATCCTGTACTGTAGATACACAACATGACTATACACAGAGACCATGTTAATATCCTGTACTGTAGATACACAACATGACTATACACAGAGGCCATGTTAATATCCTGAACTGTAGATACACAACATGACTATACACAGAGACCATGTTAATATCCTGTACTGTAGATACACAACATGAATATACACATAAAGGCCATGTTAATATCCTGTACTGTAGATACACAACATGACTATACACAGAGACCATGTTAATATCCTGTACTGTAGATACACAACATGACTATACACAGAGGCCATGTTAATATCCTGTACTGTAGATACACAACATGACTATACACATAGAGGCCATGTTAATATCCTGTACTGTAGATACACAACATGACTATACACAGAGGCCATGTTAATATCCTGTACTGTAGAGACACAACATGACTATACACAGAGACCATGTTAATATCCTGTACTGTAGATACACAACATGAATATACACAGAGACCATGTTAATATCCTGTACTGTAGATACACAACATGACTATACACAGAGGCCATGTTAATATCCTGTACTGTAGATACACAACATGACTATACACATAAAGGCCATGTTAATATCCTGTACTGTAGATACACAACATGACTATACACAGAGGCCATGTTAATATCCTGTACTGTAGATACACAACATGACTATACACAGAGGCCATGTTAATATCCTGTACTGTAGATACACAACATGAATATACACATAAAGGCCATGTTAATATCCTGTACTGTAGATACACAACATGACTATACACAGAGACCATGTTAATATCCTGTACTGTAGATACACAACATGACTATACACAGAGGCCATGTTAATATCCTGTACTGTAGATACACAACATGACTATACACATAGAGGCCATGTTAATATCATGTACTGTAGATACACAACATGACTATACACATAGAGGCCATGTTAATATCCTGTACTGTAGAGACACAACATGACTATACACAGAGACCATGTTAATATCCTGTACTGTAGATACACAACATGACTATACACAGAGACCATGTTAATATCCTGTACTGTAGATACACAACATGACTATACACAGAGGCCATGTTAATATCCTGTACTGTAGATACACAACATGACTATACACATAAAGGCCATGTTAATATCCTGTACTGTAGATACACAACATGACTATACACAGAGGCCATGTTAATATCCTGAACTGTAGATACACAACATGACTATACACAGAGACCATGTTAATATCCTGTACTGTAGATACACAACATGACTATACACAGAGGCCATGTTAATATCTTGTACTGTAGATACACAACACAACATGGCTGACAGATATGGGCTCTGACAGGTGTTTCAGTTTTAACTAAGCCAACCTGTAAGCTGTGTTTCTACTCTCACCTTCCTGTGTTCCACCACCAGGTACCTCAGCTCCAGTTCCAGCTGGTTGGAGGCAGCGCTGGGCTCCAGGGAGGGACCACAGAGAGGAGGTAGAGGGGGCAGAGAGGTGGTGCTGCCCGGGGAGCACACTGAGCCAACAGCCTCCTCACTCATAGCCTTCCACTGGGACTGGTTGTGGAAGTCAAACACGCAGAGTTCCACGGCGTCCGACGGCTGGCAGTTGGCCAGGAAGGCCTTGTGGTTGAACACACAGCCGATGGTCCTGTAGGGATAGGAGGGGCGGGGCTGGGGGGCCAGGGGAGGGGCATCTGGGTCAATGGCCTGGTGGAGGTACCTAAAACAACATGGTTGAACAGATATAATAATAATAATAATAATAATAATAATGCCATTTAGCAGACGCTTTTATCCAAAGCGACTTACAGTCATGCGTGCATACATTTTTGTGTATGGGTGGTCCCGGGGATCGAACCCACTACCTTGGCGTTACAAGCGCCGTGCTCTACCAGCTGAGCTACAAGATAGAAAAATATTGTGTAGAACAGACATGCCACTGACGTATAGACTAGAGGAAGGGATCATGACAGGTCTATTCACAACATTGCTGCACCCTGGTGAAGGGGACTCAGTTAACCCATTAGAAACTCTCAGCCAGAGAGACAGAGGACAAATTGTTGCAGGTGTGTTAAGCCCAGTTCACATCTAAAACACCAGACGCGTTTATGCAGTTATAGAGCAAAATTTGTTTGATCTGAACAGTCTAGTTTTAGATCATCTCATGTTGGCTGCAAATCTTAGCTAAAAACTTGCTACTTCCTTTAGCCAATCAGAGAACAGTGCGCTGACGTTCTGTGTTCAGCCAAGCAGCTAATTAGTTAGTCAAGCAGACAGCGATCTAGCTGTTTTATTGCAGTAACAGCTAGATTAGCTTGTTGATATTTCTCTGACGAGTCGTCATGTTTCTGGTGCATGTATTTCATGAAAGTTGTTTGCTACAACACCTAGCTGCTGCTACAACACCTAGCCGCTGCTACAACACCTAGCCGCTGCTACAACACCTAGCCGCTGCTACAACACCTAGCCGCTGCTACAACACCTAGCCGCTGCTACAACACCTAGCCGCTGCTACAACACCTAGCCGCTGCTACAACACCTAGCCGCTGCTACAACACCTAGCCGCTGCTACAACACCTAGCCGCTAATACAACACCTAGCCGTTGCTACAACACCTAGCCGCTGCTACAAACACCGAGCCGCTGCCGACAAACCACCTCGCCACGCTGCTAAACACCTAGCGCTGCTACAAACAACCTAGCCGCTGCTACAAACACCTAGCGCGTACAACACTAGCCGGGCACAACACCTAGCCGCTGCTACAACACCTAGCGCTGCTACAAACCTAGCTGCTGATACAAACACCTAGCGAGGCTACAACACCTAGCCGCTGCTACAACACCTAGCCGCTGCTACAACACCTAGCTGCAACAAGTGGCAACTTTGTTTCAAAGAAATCATGTCATTGTAAAGAGGCAGCGTTACCGTGGAAACGGTCTGAACTGTGTCTGGTCAATTTTAATTTTAATCCCCCCCCAATTTCAATCTTGTCTCATCGCTGCAACTACCCAACGGGCTCGGGAGGCGAAAGTCGAGTCATGTGTCCTCTGAAACATGACCCGCCAAACCGCACTTCTTAACACCCGCCCGCTTAACCCGGAAGCCAGCTGCACCAATGTGTCAGAGGAAACACTGTTCAACTGACGAACGAAGTCAGCCTGCAGGCACCCGGCCTGCCACAAGGAGTCGCTAGAGCATGATGAGCCAATTGTGCGCTGCCCTATGGGATTCACGGTCACAGCCGGGTGTGACACAGCCTGGGATCGAACCCGGGCCTGTAGTGATGCCTCAAGCACTGCGATGAAGGAGGCCCCGTCTCTGGTCTTTAGACCGTCTGCTCTACAACACAACATTCTGAAACAGTCTAGTTCTGTCTGATCTCATGTCGGCTGTTGAATCTGAACCAGGCTTTAGTCTCACCTGTGTGCGGTCAGGCTCTCCCAGAAGGTGATGGTACTGTCAGTGCCCCTGGTCATCACCCAGGTGTGTGCCAAGCCCTTGGGCTTAGTGCCAACACACACGTAGGCATCCAGGCCAAACCCCAGCAGCAGACTGCACAGCAGGGTGGCATGGTCCTCACAGTCGCCCTGGAAACACACAACCAATCAGATCAGAGAGATGTCACAGTCTCCCTGGAAACACCAAAAACACCATGTCTCAGTCTGGCCTCATTTCCTAACCCAGAGTTTCCCAAACTCGGTCCTCTGGACCCCAAGGAGTGCATGTTTAGTTTTTTGCCCTAGCTTTGATCATTTCAATCTGCTGTGTACTGTTAGGGCAGAAACCAAAACATGCACCCCTTGGGGTCGCGAGGGCCGAGTTTGAGAAACGCTGTCCTAACCCTAACTCTAACCCATAGGGCTGGTCATCATTTCTCAGTCTGGTCTCAGTTCCTAACCCTAACTCTAACCCATAAGGATGGTCATCATGTCTCAGTCTGGTCTCAGTTCCTAACCCTAACTCTAACCCATAAGGATGGTCATCATGTCTCAGTCTGGTCTCAGTTCCTAACCCTAACTCTAACCCATAGGGCTGGTCATCATGTCTCAGTCTGGTCTCAGTTCCTAACCCTAACTCTAACCCATAAGGATGGTCATCATGTCTCAGTCTGGTCTCAGTTCCTACCCTAACTCTAACCCATAAGGATGGTCATCATGTCTCAGTCTGGTCTCAGTTCCTAACCCTAACTCTAACCCATAGGGCTGGTCATCATGTCTCAGTCTGGTCTCAGTTCCTAACCCTAACTCTAACCCATAAGGATGGTCATCATGTCTCAGTCTGGTCTCAGTTCCTAACCCTAACTCTAACCCATAAGGATGGTCATCATGTCTCAGTCTGGTCTCAGTTCCTAACCCTAACTCTAACCCATAAGGATGGTCATCATGTCTCAGTCTGGTCTCAGTTCCTAACCCTAACTCTAACCCATAAGGATGGTCATCATGTCTCAGTCTGGTCTCAGTTCCTAACCCTAACTCTAACCCATAAGGATGGTCATCATGTCTCAGTCTGGTCTCAGTTTCCTAACCCTAACTCTAACCCATAAGGATGGTCATCATGTCTCAGTCTGGTCTCAGTTCCTAACCCTAACTCTAACCCATAAGGATGGGTCATCATGTCTCAGTCTGGTCTCAGTTCCTAACCCTAACTCTAACCCATAAGGATGGTCATCATGTCTCAGTCTGGTCTCAGTTCCTAACCCTAACTCTAATCCATAAGGATGGTCATCATGTCTCAGTCTGGTCTCAGTTCCTAACCCTAACTCTAACCCATAAGGATGGTCATCATGTCTCAGTCTGGTATCAGTTCCTAACCCTAACTCTAAATCCCATAAGGATGGTCATCATTGTCTCAGTCTGGTCTCAGTTCCTAACCCTAACTCTAATCCATATCATGACGGGGGAATGTGGAGTATGGGGCTCAGGTCGCGGAGCACCACAGAGCTGGGATTTGAATCCATTCTAAGGTGGGGAATCATCTGCATCAGTCTAGACCACTTCCTAACCTCGTAACCCTTTAATCCATAAGATGGTCATCAGGTCTCAGTACTGGTCTAGTTAACCGAACTCTAATTCCATAGGCTGGTCATCATGTCTCAGTCAGGGAGGGGAGGGGAGGGGGAGGAGGAGAGGAGGGGAGGGGGAGAGGAGGGGAGGGGAGAGGAGAAGAGGGGGAGGAGGAGGAGGGAGGGGGAGAGGAGGAGGATAGGAATTTATTCATCTGCGCACTGGGGAAAATCCCAGATCCGTCCCTCAGGATAAAAAACACTCTTCTCATAATAGACAGTTCAACAGTTTTAAAATCAAATTGTCCAGTTCAAACCACTGAGGATTACACAGAGAGAGTGAGATAAGTTGGGGTCAGGAGGTTAAAGACTTAATAGTATACAGGTCTAAATGGTTATGGCTGTGTGTGTTGTGAGGGGAGAGGAGGAGAGGGGAGGGGAGAGGAGGAGGAGAGGAGGAGGAGAGGAGGGGAGGGGAGAGGAGGAGAGGGAAGAGGAGAGGAGGAGGAGAGGAGGAGGGGTGAGAGGAGAGGTGGGAGGAGAGGAGAAGAGAGGAGAAGAGAGGAGAGGAGAGGAGAGGAGAGGAGAGGAGAGGAGAGGAGAGGAGAGGAGAGGAGAGGAGAGGAGAGGAGAGGAGAGGAGAGGAGAGGAGAGGAGAGGAGAGGAGAGGAGAGGAGAGGAGGAGGGGGGAGAGGAGAGGAGGAGGAGAGGAGAGGAGGAGAGGAGGAGTGGAGGGGAGAGGAGGAGGAGAGGAGGGGAGGGGAGAGGTGGGGGAGGGGAGAGGAGGAGAGGAGAGAGGAGGAGGAGAGGCATTTATTCATTCTGCTGCACTGGGGGAAAATCCCAGAACTGTCCATCAGGATAAAAACACATCTTCTCATAATAGACAGTTTAAATAACAGTTTTATAAATCAATTATTGTACAATTCCACCACTGAGGATTACAACAGAGAGAGAGAGATAAGTTGTCAGAGGTTAAAGACTTAATAGTATTACAACTGTCTAAATGGTTATGGCTGTGTGTGTTGTGTGGTTTTTGAGCAGGCCTTGCCTAGTCTTTTTCAACAGCCACAGTGTCTACAACACATGCAGTATAAACAGTGTGGTACAGAACAGAGCCAGTCCTTACCTTGCCTCTACAGAGGAAGGCGAGGAGAGAGCACCACTGCTCCTGTTTGCCCCCTCCTCCTCCCCCCACCACAGGGGCTTTCTCCAGGCCCAGAAGGCTAACGAAGCGAGCTGCCTGACGGGGACTCTCCAGGAGACGACCAGCACGCAGGACACGCACGTAGGAACACACCGGCCTGTTGACGCCGTTCTCATCCTGCAAGCAAGACAGCAGAGTTCAAATACAGCAGAGTTCAAATACAGCACAGCTAACACACACCCAGCTAACACACACCCAGCTAACACACACATCACAGCTAACACACACCCAGCTAACACACACCCAGCTAACACACACCCAGCTAACACACATCACAGCTAACACACACCCAGCTAACACACATCACAGCTAACACACACCCAGCTAACACACATCACAGCTAACACACACCCAGCTAACACACACCCAGCTAACACACATCACAGCTAACACACACCCAGCTAACACACAGCACAGCTAACACACAGCACAGCTAACACACACCCAGCTAACGCACACACAGCTAACACACACCCAGCTAACACACACCCAACTAACACACACCCAGCTAACACACACCACAGCTAACACACACCACAGCTAACACACACCACAGCTAACACACACCCAACTAACACACACCCAGCTAACACACACCCAGCTAACACACACCACAGCTAACACACACCACAGCTAACACACACCCAGCTAACACACACCACAGCTAACCCACACCCAGCTAACACACACCCAGCTAACACACATCACAGCTAACACACACCCAGCTAACACACAGCCACAGCTAACACACACCACAGCTAACACACACCCAGCTAACACACACCACAGCTAACACACACCACAGCTAACACACACCCAGCTAACACACACCCAACTAACACACACCCAGCTAACACACAGCACAGCTAACACACAGCACAGCTAACACACACCACAGCTAACACACACCCAATAACACACACCCAGCTAACACACACCCAGCTAACACACACCACAGCTAACACACACCACAGCTAACACACACCCAGCTAACACACACCACAGCTAACACACACCCCAGCTAACACACACCCAACTAACACACACCCAGCTAACACACACCCAGCTAACACACACCACAGCTAACACACACCACAGCTAACACACACCCAGCTAACACACACCACAGCTAACACACACCCAGCTAACACACACCCAGCTAACACACACCACAGCTAACACACACCAGCTAAACACACAGCACAGCCTAACACACAGCACAGCTAACACACACCCAGCTAACACACACCACAGCTAACACACACCAGCTAACACACACCCAACTAACACACACCCAGCTAACACACACCACAGCTAACACACACCACAGCTAACACACACCACAGCTAACACACACCCAACTAACACACACCAGCTAACACACACCCAGCTAACACACACCACAGCTAACACACACCACAGCTAACACACACCCAGCTAACACACATCACAGCTAACACACACCCAGCTAACACACACCCAGCTAACACACATCACAGCTAACACACACCCAGCTAACACACAGCACAGCTAACACACATCACAGCTAACACACACCCAGCTAACACACAGACAGCTAACACACAGCACAGCTAACACACACCCAGCTAACGCACATCACAGCTAACACACACCCAGCTAACACACACCCAACTAACACACACCCAGCTAACACACAGCACAGCTAACACACACCACAGCTAACACACACCACAGCTAACACACACCCAACTAACACACACCCAGCTAACACACACCCAGCTAACACACACCACAGCTAACACACACCACAGCTAACACACACCCAGCTAACACACATCACAGCTAACACACACCCAAGCTAACACACACCCAGCTAACACACAGCACAGCTAACTCGGCCCATTACAAACTCGACACCATTCTCATCCTAAAAACACACACAACAATGGTTTTTAATATTATTAAACACTAATACATCAGTATTATATTAATACACAAGTATTACAACAAAAGCAAACATTGTGAGGACCTGTGCAAAGATCTTGACCAGTTTGGCTTGGTTTGACTGTCTGATCTCTAGAAACTCTCTCCACCACTGTTTAGCATAGAAGAGAAACAACCTCTCCTTCTCCGCTGTCTTCTGGCGCTCCAGGGATTGCTGCAAATAATAACAATCATTATAAATGGCTGCCTCTTAGGAAGGAACGATACAAATGTTAGTGAATCATAGCATGACAACGTGACAGAGCATAGTAGCATAGCATAGCGTGACCAGTCTCTGACCTGTGTGGTGATGATGTCAGGTGACAGGGCCTCTGTCAGAGGAGGATAGAGTTCCAGACTCACATTGAGAACACCAGCTGATACCTTAAATTCACTACCTACAGTTAGGACAGAGCAGACATCAGATACACATACTGAACACATGGGTAGGGATGGGGAAAAAATGACTAAATACTATTACAACATACCATAAAGACCAATGTATCAAAATAAACTACGAAATAAATACTTGTATTTTGAAATGTATTTAATGAAAATACATGTATTTAGTATTTTTAAAATACAGAGATAAATTTGCAAGTAGCCAGCCGAACAGCAACAACATTGTCAGTAACGGTGACAGAAACGTTTTATTGTGGTATGATGTCGTTTATCCATCTTAGTAGAATGCACTGACTGGAAGTCACTCTGGATAACACTGTCCGCTAAATGACCAAATGTAAATGTATATGTGAAAATGAACACACCAAAATGAACTGCAAAGCAAACTGGGTATTATTAGCGGCCCTGTTTCAGGGTCATGCCTAGATGGGTTACAGCTTAACCTGATTATCCTAACCTGCTACGTTAATTATCCTAACCTGCTGTGTAAGCTCTCCTACACCTGCTAGAAAAAGTCAATTTTGACAAAAGCTGTACCCCTTCTAGACAAAACCTTGTTTCGGGGCAGAGCTCATTAGAATAATACTCAGCATGCTTTGCAATTGTCAATTTTTACATACACATTTAGTTAATTTAGCAGGCACTCTTATCACACCATAGTGCCATCAGACTTCTAATACAAATGCAGGGTGAAAGGGAGCCACAAAATGGTGAACCGCTATAAACAATGGTATAGAAAAGTAATTAGTAAATACAAATTACAGCTCTGGAAAGTATCTTGCTACAAACACATTGGAGTGTAGTTCAGCCCAGTGTGATACAAATGACTAAATACTCAAAAGTAATTGAAATACTGCCCATCTCTGCACATGGTCAACTAGCTGGTAGCCTAAAATCACTACCTGTTTTGAAGAACGAAACACATCCTCACTACCCCACATCAGGAAGAAAAGAAACACCTACCTCCCTCGACAGAAAGGGGCAAACAAAAAAACCTACATCACTCCTGGAGATAGGACGAACAGAAAAACCTAAATCCCTTTCCGCAGTTTGGAAGAAAAAAAAACCCACACTCCCCGACATAAGGACAGAAAAAGAAACACCCACACTCCCTACCGACAGTAAGGAAAAACGAAACCTACCCCCTACCTGGAGATAGGACAGAACAGAAAAAACCTCCTCCCTCCCCTTGGGGCAAAAAAAAAACACCTACATCCCCTTTCAAGTAAGGCAGACAGAAAAAACCTACACTCCTACCCAACAGTTGGACAGAAAGAAAACATACACTCACTACCGACAGTAAGGACAGAAAAAGAAAACCTCCTACTACAGACAGTAAGGGCAGAACAGAAACCCTACATCCCTCCGACAGTAAGGACGAACAGAAACCCTACCTCCTACCCACTAAGGACAAAAAGAACACCTACACCCCTACCCCCATTTTGGGCAGAACAGAAAAACCCTCACTCCTACGACAGTCAGGGCAAACAAAACCACACTCAACCCACATTTTGGACAGAACAGGGAAAAACCTACCCCCTACCGACGTAAGGAAGAACGAAAAACCTACATCCCCCACCGACAAAGGCAAACCCGAAACACCTACACCTACCGACAGTAAGGACAGCACAAAACACCTACACTCCCCTACCAACAGTTAGGGCGAAAAAAACACATACACTCACACCGACAGTCAGGGCAGAACAAAACACCTACACTCCCACCGACGAAGGACAAACAGAAACCCCTACACCCCCCCCCCCCCCCCCCTAAGGAAGAACAGAAACCCTACCTCCCTACCGACATTTAAGGGACAGAACAAAACACCCAACCCCCCTACCAAAATTTTTTGGGCAGAACAAAACAATACACTCACTACGACATAGGGAAAACAAAAACCACCCTCACACCCCAGTTACCGAACAGAAACACCTACACTATACCTGGAGTTAGGATAGAACATACCATACCTCACTACCGACATTTGAAGAACAAAACCCCAACATCACTACCCCAGTGGACAGAACAAAACCCACACTCACTACCAAAAGCGGACAGACAGAAACACCTACACTCACTACCTGGAAAGGACAAAAAGAAACCCTACCTCCCACCGACATAAGGCGAACAAAACCCCACATATCCCGACGTAGCAACAAAAACCCTTCCTCACTCCGAAGTGGGGCAGAACAGAAACATACACCCCTACCGCTAAGGACAAACGAAAAACCCTCACTCATACCGGTTAGGGGCGAAAAAAAAAACCTACATCCCTACCCCAGTAAGGGCGAACAAAAAACCAACCCTACCGACGAGGACAGAAAAAAAACACTACATCCCTACCGACAGAAGGACAGAACAGAAAACCCCAATCACTCCCCCAGTTAGCAGAAAAAAAACACCCACCCTCCCCCCCACAGTAAGGGCAGAAAAAACACCCCCCCTACCGCTTGGAAGACAGAAAACCCCCACTCACTAGACAGTTAGGGACAGAACAAAAAAACCCTAACTTTACACCACGTTAGGCAAACAAAACCCTACCCACTACCGCGTTTTGGACAGAACGAAACCCTACACTCAACCGACGTTAGGACAGAACGAAACACCACATACACAACGTAAACAGAAAAAAACCCTACACCACTCCCCGTTGGGGAAAAACAGAAAACCTCCCCCTCCCTACCGCGTAAGGACGAACAAAAACACTACATCACTCCCACAGTTAGGAAGAACAGAAAAAACCCCCCACCCCCCCGCGTAAGGAACGAAACAAACCCCCACCTCATCCCCAGTTGGACAAAAAAAAACACCTACACTCATCCCCAGTTAGGAAAGAAAAAAAACACCTAACCCCTACCCCTAAGGGGAAACAGAAACCCTACACTCACTAAGACAGAAGACGAACGAAAAAAACCCCCACTACTACCCCGGGGGGACGAACAAAAAACCCCACCTCCCCGCTTTGGCAGAAAAGAAAAAAACCCTCCCCGTAGGACGAACAAACCCCTACACTCAATACCCCCAAGTAAGGACAGAACGAAAAACCCCCCCCACCCGACTAAGGGCAAACAGAAACCCCTACATCCCCCTACCCGGGGTTGGCAGAAAGAAACCCTACACTCCTCCCACAGTAAGGGCAGAAAAAAAACACCCCACCCTACCCAATTAGGGCAGAACAAACACCTAAACTCACTACCTAGTTTTGGACGAACAGAAACACCCCACCTAACCCACAGTTTGGCAGAACAAAAACCCAAAAACCCCTTCCACCTTAGGACAGAAAAAACCCCACCTCCATGCGTAAGGACAGCAAAACACCTCACCCCCTGAAGTGGCGCCCAAAAAAAAACCACCTCACTACCTCGAAAAAAAGCAACGAATTTTTTCCCTTTTTCTTAATTTTTTTATTTTACTGGGTGTTAATCAGGCAAATGAATAGAAAATGCAGGTTACTTTCCTTCAGAAAATGTAACCTCAAATAGTTCAACCCCAGGGTCCTTACCGACTCCAAGCAGCTCTACAGCAATGCTGGTCTTCCCAGAGGGAGAGGAGAGGACGGTCCTCCAGTCCAGGAAGTAAGAGGAGACCAGGGTGGTCTCACTGGACGTGTCTCTCTTTATCAACACCAGGTGGACTGGGTCACAGATAGACAACATCGTGGTGGCATCCGCCATCTTACTGCCATCACCTGTAAGACACAGAGAAAAAGGAAAGTCATGACCAAGAAGCCTGTTCAGAGATGATCAATTGATACTTTTATTTTTTTGGTATTTTACCCCCTTTTTCTCCGCAATTTTGATCTTGTCTCATCACTGCAACTCCCCAACGGGCTCGGGAAGGCGAAGGTCGAGTCATGCGTCCTCCGAAACATGACCCGCCAAATCGCGCTTCTTAACACCCACCCGCTTAACCCGGAAGCCAGCCGCACCAATTTGTCGGAGGAAACACCGTTCAACTGATGACCGAGGTCAGCCTGCAGGGGTGAACCCGGGTCTGTAGTGGCGCCTCTAGTACTGCGATGCAGTGCCTTAGACCGCTGCGCCACTCGGGAGGCCCCAATACTTTTGTTGTCCGAGAGTAAGCTCAATCTAGGCCTGTAAAACTGGCCATAAAATATAAATCCACTATTGTACAACGAGGATCAATGAGAGAAGCTAAATTAAAGGAGGCAATGTTGTTACTATCCAAAGTTAACACTTGTGGAACAACAGACAGGTGAGGTAAACAGGTCAACTAGTAAACAGGACTACTTTACAACGGGGATCAAAGATAAATGGTAAATTAAAGGAGGCAATGTTGTCTACAGTAAACCGTTTGTGTAATATCAGGCAGTCAGGAAGTAAACCAGTCTGTACCCAGTCCCTCTCTGTGTATCTCCAGCAGGAAGCCCTCCTGTAGGTCTGGCTCACAGGCACAGGGGACAGGCTTGGAGCGGAAGCGCTGGTTCCTGAAGTGCAGGTAGAGGGTGAAGGTGGAGCAGACCTGCCCAGGTAGGGGCTCTGGCTCCTGGAGGTGCTCTAGAAAGGCCTTACCCCCCAGGACCTGGAGGTACAGGTACCTCCTCGCTGGGTCCATGTTGACTGGGAGGACAGAAATAGAATCATTTGACACTGAACAGTAGTAAGGGTACTTTAGGTGCTACAGGAGACTGCTCGTTCAATCTCCCCGCTAACAGCTTTTCTTACTTTTCTTGAGCTTTGTCAGGTCCTTGTCAATATAGTGAGTTGCAGGCTTTGGAGTGCTCTGGAGTCCTAACTCTGTGTCAGGCACTTCCTATCAAAACAGTGTCAACGTTAAAAAGAAAGGTACGGAAGTCCAGAGGAGGACATATGAAAAAATAGATTATGTCGAGATCACAACTTATTTATGTCATGATCACTACATAACAAAAGTTGTTTTGTTGAAATCACGAGATAAACTCTATAAATAGGAGTGGACGTATTGATGATAGATTGCCAGTATGGCTGAGGCGGCAGAGCCCACGGTGGATCAGTGCATACGTTTTTATTGACTGATACACTAAGGGATGGTACATTTCATGCTGACATCATGCTTTCATTTGTGTTTGGAGCTCCTTATCAGTTTATAAGTTAGAATGTTAGCAAGCTAAATGTCCCTTTAGAGCTCATGGGGCATCTATGCCCTCATGGGGTTATTTACGCCCTTAACTATGCCTGACAGGCAGCACTGTCTCCCAGGCTGTGTGCCACCCCCGAGACCACAGCCAATCGCATACTAGCAACAATGTAGCTAACTTGGCTAGTCTTGTGAGCGAGCGAGCTAGCTAGCTAGCTAGCAAGGTAGTCTTGTTAGCTAGCTAGCTTGTTATCTGTGCTGGTTGTTAGCTTGCATAACTGATATGTGTATAATTGTAAGGGACACTGCATGTTTTATGGATAATATTTAAATGTACAGAGTGGGTGAGCTCCATTCCTGACAGGCTGATCAGATTCAATAGCAGCCTCAGAGCTAGATCAGATTCAATAGCAGCCTCAGAGCTAGATCAGATTCAATAGCAGCCTCAGAGCTAGATCAGATTCAATAGCAGCCTCAGAGCTAGATCAGATTCAATAGCAGCCTCAGAGCTAGATCAGATTCAAAAGCAGCCTCAGAGCTAGATCAGATTCAATAGCAGCCTCAGAGCTAGATCAGATTCAATAGCAGCTTGAAAGGCTCCTTGCAGACAACCTACAGGCAGCATCCTGATTTATCAGCCTCTGAGGCTGCTATTGAATCTGATCAGCCTGCCAGGAATAGAGCACAACTACTCTGGATTATATGCATCAACCTATAAAGCACTGACAGCTAATCTGCCTGCAAGGAGCTTTACCCATGAAACAGCCTATAAGGCAGCATCCTGATTTATCAGCCTTTGAGGCTGAAATTGAATCTGATCAGCCTGTCAGGAATGGAGTTCACCCACTGTAAATGTAAATATTATCCACAAAGCATGAAGTGTCCATTATAATTAAACACATATCAGTTATGGAAGCTAACAACCAGCACAGATAACTTTCCAGTAAGACTACCTAGCTAACTGGCTCACAAGACTTGCCAAGTTAGCTGCGTTGTTCCTTGCATGCAATTGGCTGTGGTCTTTGGGGCGGCACACAGCCTGGGAGACAGTGCTGCCTGTCAGGCATTGTGCAGGGCTTAAATGCCCCACGAGCGCATTGCGATCAATACAGCCACAGGGCTCCTTGATGAGGTGGTTATCGTGCATGGTGCATCTGAACAAATGATTGGATGATGCGTGGTACTTCCAATTATCTTGTGATCTCAATAAAACAACTTTTGTTATGTAGCGATCATGAGATAAGTCGTGATCTCGACATAACAAGGGAATTATTTTGTGTATTCATGTCCTCTCTGGACTTCTGTAGAAAGGTGCATTCAACCTCCAATAATAATGTGTAGTCTGAACAGAAGATTCTCCATAACTCACCTTAGAGAAATGTAGATCCTTCATGACATCGTCTACGATTCCCCTGCGTTGCAGAGCCCTGAGGAAGTCCTCCTCAGAGAGAGAGCCATGTCCAGGGTCCAGATCCTCTCTCACTGTCTCTGCCAACACATCCCTGATCTTCTCATGGATGTTTATCTGACAAAACACACCTTATTACTCACAAAATCTCAGAACAGAATGGTTCAAGCCCCACTCTGGCTGTTCTCCCTCAATGGCTTAGTGGCATAAGTGGGATAATCCAACAGTCTCTCAGGCCTTTAACTAGAAGTGTTTCCCTGTACATAGCTAGCTATGTCTATTCATGTGTTAGCTAATGTTCTCTATCAGTAAGAGAAAGTCGTAGTACCAACTCCAAGTAGCTAGCTCCATTGTATTGAACACATAGCTATCAGATTGGTAATGTATTAATCTTGAAAATAGCTTTTATTAATTGTTTTATGCTTAGGTTGCTAGCTACCTTGATCAGATGGTTGTGTATGATCTGCTTCAGTTCAGAAGCTTTCTCCGGTGGCAGAGACATCTTGGCAGATTTCCACCCGCGTTTTGCCTGTTTTCCTAAATGAACACTACACTAGACGTGTGGTAAGAAGTGCTATATGTAAATGGTTTATAGTTTTCTTATCTTATTTGCCTGAATAACACGAAGGATCAGAAATTCCATCTGCAAAACTTAAATCCCAGACCTCCACAACAATAACAACCGTCAGTTTAAACTGTGTGGCGGAAAGGAAAGCGGGAATGTGCCTTCATCATTGCCTGAAGTGGTTAGTCTAATAAAAGTCTTAAATAAACGACAAAACCATTCCATTAAATAACAATAATCACACGAAGTATTACATAAAACCATCACTTTGAAAACGGAGTCTTGTTTTAAGTGTATTTGCTTTCTTTTCATTAAATATTTTACATTTCTATTAATTGTCAGCGATAAACTACTCGGTTATAGGACCCACAAGGACCAGTTTGTAGTTTGAGAACTGATTGTAGTTTTCTCAGATATACTTTTCAGGAGATGTGAAACGTTGCCCATGCGTCGTCGATGCATTCTTGGCGATCCTGGAACAAGGACAGTTACCACAGCCACAAAGTCATAAACCCGGCCTATTTCTTCAATTTCTCTTCTTGAAATTTGATTTGAACCCTAACCGCTAACCACACTGCTAACCTTATGCCTAACCTTCAATTAAGACCAAAAAACAAATGTTAGTTTTCACGAATCTAGCCAATTCTGATTTTGGGGCTGTGGTAACTAGTGGAAACCAGAGAGCACTCTTTCAATGAGTGAACGGGTCAATGAGTGAATGGGTGGTAAGCCGAAAGCAACCGACTGAAAACGAAAGTCGGGGGAGGTGTATCTGCAACAGGTGAAAGTCGCACACTAATATGGTTTTTCGACAGCAAGTCTCAGATCAACATGGCACTGTTGCCATTGTTTATGAACGTTTATAAATAAACATAGCTCCAACCCCCATATCACACCCTCACAAATTGAAATCATATGTGTGTACATTATACAATCAATCAGTGAGAGAGAGCCTCAAATATCACATTTATTTGTATTACTTCACTGTACATGAATCGTGGCAAAGTTGATCCCTTACAAAAATGTACAATGGTAGTACAATGAAAAAAATATACCATGGTACTATTATGTTTTTTGGGTCACTGCCATGGCAAGAAAATACCATGGTACTGGTGCAAATACCACAGTATATTCCTGCCATGGTAGTGACCAAAAAAACATGATACTTTTTTCATGGTATTAGCTACCATGGTAAAAATGAACCATGGTAATACAATGAAAAAAATACCATGGTTTTGTACTAGCATCATGCAGTGAAATAAGCATGGTAGTTGTTTACAAGGTATTATGATGGTCTGTGTCAAAAAACGTAGTAATTTATTGTACTCACATAATGCAACACGGACTACTCGCTCTGCAATGGCAAAGTGTAGGCCTAGTACCCTCTTAAACCTCTTTAACTCATAGTGAAAAACCACAACACACATGGTCTAGTAGTGTAGTGTACTCTCTTAAACCTCTTTAACTCATAGTGAAAAACCACAACACACATGGTCTAGTAGTGTAGTGTACCCTCTTCAACCTTGGGACCTGGATAGGGTATGGTGAGAAGAATGAAGGGAGTCTGAAACCTTGAAGATTTAAAATAGTTTATCTGGTGCTTCTCTCCTCAATACAGTTTTCAGTTTTCGCTACTCATATACAATTATAAATAGCCAACATACTAAAAACAATGTATTAAAAGGTATACATCATCATCTTATTACATTTACATTTTAGTCATTTAGCAGACGCTCTTATCCAGAGCGACTTACAGTTAGTGAGTGCATACATTAAAAAAAACAATTATACTGGAATCGAACCCACAACCCTGGCGTTGCAAATGCCATGCTCTACCAACTGAGCTACATCCCTGCCGGCCATTCCCTCCCCTACCCTGGACGACGCTGGGCCAATTGTGCGCCGCCCATTGGGTCTCCCGGTCGCGGCCGGCTACGACAGAGGCTGGATTCGAACCAGGATCTCTAGTGGCACAGCTAGCACTGCGATGCAGAGCCTTAGACCACTGCGCCACTCGGGATCTCATAGATACATTTTCATCGTGTAATTATCAACATATCCCTAAAAACAGCAAGTTACAATGTTTCCCATTGTTTACACTGTGTGCGAACGAACGATCGTTGGTCCTGTTGCCATGACTACGACAGGCTCGCTTGACTGGCGCTAACTTTAGCCGACCTTAGCTTCTATGCTAACGGACCTTTAACAGATAAATTAAACTATCAAAATATCATCCAAAAAATGGTTTATACCTTTACACTCTCCGCTTCTTGGCGTTTCATATCATATCATATGCTTTATAAACTCGCTCACACCGGCATGATAACGTTTAAAATATTTTGTTTATCTGGTTCTTCTCTCCTCAGTTTTCAGTTGTCTCTCTCATTCAACAGACTCACTGACTAGTCAAAGATTAGGCTTCCATATCGCTCACATTTCAGGTTGGCAACACAGGGAACCCAAACATTAGCAGAAAAAACTATACTATTAATACAGAAAGTTTATCCCTTTTTCACAGTGACTATTTCCCTTTTTCTTTGATGTTACAAACAAACTAGGAACAACAATAGTAGCCTGCCTCTGACTTTATCAGAAACTGGCCCATACTGGTATATCAATTCATCAATATCAGTTGTGTAAAGTACACTGCTCAAAAAAATTAAGGGAACACTAAAATAACACATCCTAGATCTGAATGAATTAAATAATCTTATTAAATACTTTTTTCTTTACATAGTTGAATGTGCTGACAACAAAATCACACAAAAATTATCAATGGAAATCAAATTTATCAACCCATGGAGGTCTGGATTTGGAGTCACCCTCAAAATTAAAGTGGAAAACTATACTACAGGCTGATCCAACTTTGATGTAATGTCCTTAAAACAAGTCAAAATGAGGCTTAGTAGTGTGTGTGGCCTCCACGTGCCTGTATGATCTCCCTACAACGCCTGGGCATGCTCCTGATGAGGTGGCGGATGGTCTCCTGAGGGATCTCCTCCCAGACCTGGACTAAAGCATCCGCCAACTCCTGGACAGTCTGTGGTGCAACATGGCGTTGGTGGATGGAGCGAGACATGATGTCCCAGATGTGCTCAATTGGATTCAGGTCTGGGGAACGGGCGGGCCAGTCCATAGCATCAATGCCTTCCTCTTGCAGGAACTGCTGACACACTCCAGCCACATGAGGTCTAGCATTGTCTTGCATTAGGAGGAACCCAGGGCTAGCCACACCAGCATATGGTCTCACAAGGGTTCTGAGGATCTCATCTCGGTACCTAATGGCAGTCAGGCTACCTCTGGCGAGCACATGGAGGGCTGTGCGGCCCCCCAAAGAAATGCCACCCCACACCATGACTGACCCACCGCCAAACCGGTCATGCTGGAGGATGTTGCAGGCAGCAGAACGTTCTCCACGGCGTCTCCAGACTTTGTCACGTCTGTCACGTGCTCAGTGTGAACCTGCTTTCATCTGTGAAGAGCACAGGGCGCCAGTGGCGAATTTGCCAATCTTGGTGTTCTCTGGCAAATGCCAAACGTCCTGCACGGTGTTGGGCTGTAAGCACAACCCCCACCTGTGGACGTCGGGCCCTCATACCACCCTCATGGAGTCTGTTTCTGACCGTTTGAGCAGACACATGCACATGTGGCCTGCTGGAGGTCATTTTGCAGGGCTCTGGCAGTGCTCCTCCTGCTCCTCCTTGCACAAAGGCGGAGGTAGCAGTCCTGCTGCTGGGTTGTTGCCCTCCTCTGTAGCTCAGCTGGTAGAGCATGGCGCTTGTAATGCCAAGGTAGTGGGTTCGATCCCCGGGACCACCCATACACAAAAATGTATGCACGCATGACTGTAAGTCGCTTTGGATAAAAGCGTCTGCTAAATGGCATATTATTATTATTATTATTACGGCCTCCTCCACGTCTCCTGAAGTACTGGCCTGTCTCCTGGTAGCGCCTCCATGCTCTGGACACTACGCTGACAGACACAGCAAACCTTCTTGCCACAGCTCGCATTGATGTGCCATCCTGGATGAGCTGCACTACCTGAGCCACTTGTGTGGGTTGTAGACTCCGTCTCATGCTACCACTAGAGCGAAAGCACCGCCAGCATTCAAAAGTGACCAAAACATCAGCCAGGAAGCATAGGAACTGAGAAGTGGTCTGTGGTCACCACCTGCAAAACCAGTCCTTTATTGGGGGTGTCTTGCTAATTGCCTATAATTTCCACCTGTTGTCTATTCCATTTGCACAACAGCATGTGAAATTTATTGTCAATCAGTGTTGCTTCCTAAGTGGACAGTTTGATTTCACAGAAGTGTGATTGACTTGGAGTTACATTGTGTTGTTTAAGTGTTCCCTTAATTTTTTTGAGCAGTGTACTTAAGTAAAAATACTTTAAAGTACTACTTAAGTAGTTTTTTGGGGTATCTGTACTTACTTAACTCTTTATATTTTTGACAACTTTACTTCATTATATTTCTAAAGAAAATAATGTACTTTTTACTCCATACATTTTCCCTGACACCCAAAAGTACTTGTTAGGAAAATGGTCCAATTCATGTACTTATCAAGAGAACACATGGTCATCCCTACTGCCTCTGATCTGGCAGACTCACTAAACACAAATGCATCATTTGTAAATTATGTTGGGGTGTGCTCCTGGCTATCCGCAAATGTTAAAAACAAGAAAATGTTGCCGTCTGCTTTGCTTAATATAAGGAATCTGAAATTATTAGATTTTTTATACTTAAGTATATCTAAAACCAAATACTTTTAGACTTTTACTCAAGTAGAATTTTACTGGGTGACTTTCACTTTTACTTGAGTCCTTTTCTATTAAGGTATCTTTACTTTAATCAAGTATGACAATTAGGGACTTTTTCCACAACTGATCAATATAATGCCAACCAACCTCTTTTGACCTTGAGGGGTTTATTCATTTAATGCATTATACTGCCATTGTACTACAGTAACACACAATTAATAAAGATGGTACCATATGATAATTTTTAGTACCATTTATCATAATTGTGCATTACTATGGTAGAATGTATAATGCGGTATAAAACCATGGTATTTCCATGATTCAGATCTATACCATGGTATAAATTATGCAATACCATGGTAATATTTA